ATCTGATTCCTCATTGTGTGCCAATGGGAAGACCAGGTATACTGCAAATTTAAACGACTATTCCTATTTCAGAAAAGCGTGTTCCACCAGTTTTCCAAACATCTGATGGCCAGGAAACATTTTCCATATTGACCCATCTGTCAAGAGCTTCTAAGTGTTCTCTACTGAACCTATGCATATTATAGAGAATGTTGCAAGTTGCCCCCTCAGGTTGCAACAAACCTCACCATGGCTCTGTTTGTTAGCGTGACTTCAAAAATAAGGCAATCACAGCAACACACAATAAACTTCCAAAGAGTTATAGTGGAAGGGCTGCAGTTCAGTGGTAAAGCACAACCATTGCCTGCAAATAGTTTCAAGTTCATTCCATGATATTTCCACTCACTTCTATGGAATACTTGCGCTTGATACTACAGGGGGATGCTGCCAGTTGCTTTAGAGAATACTAAATGTGCCAATGGACTGGTTCAGTATAAAGCAATTTTAAGCCCTGCCTTGAACAGCACCAGATTAATGTAATAAACTGCAAAAGACAGCTTATTTTTAAAAAAATGTAAAAAAAGTAAACATGTCTTGATGAAAATAATTTTCTTTATAGACCTTATCACTTTCTTGAATTGTGTTCAAATGAAAGAAACATGAACAAGTTTTTAGAAAATATTTACTGTTAATGATGTGCAGTGATATTATAGTAACTCTTCAAGTATATATAATCTTCATTCTGACAAAGGATGGCACAGGTGATTCTGGTAATGCAAATAAAAAAAGAAAACAAGGTCTAGGGAGGAGACAAGTAACCTTAGTGAAATGAAATTGTTGCTGTTGTTACATGCTGTCAAGTTGGAACCCACCCTAAGAGGGTTTTCAAAGTAAGTGAAATATTTAAGAAATAATTTTACCAGGTCCACTCCCCCATAGTCAGTTTCCATGGCTGAAAGGGGATTTAACCAATGTACTCCAGAGTCTTAGTCCATCACTCTACTCACTACACCACACTAGGAGCCCCAAAGTGAAATTAGCCTGGGTTAAATAAGTAATAATAGTGAATATGTATGTGCAGATCTGAATGTGTAAAATATCTATTGAACAGAAACAGACAGAGAATAAAGTAGATCATATTTCAAAGAAAACAGAAATGGAGAATAAAGAAAGAGATAGCTAGGGAATAATATGAAGGTTTTTTTAAAAGTTTTTTTTTTATTACTAGAAGACAAAGTATTCAGACAGTATATCAATGATGATGACTGTTAGGGTTTTGCAGAATGGAATAAAACCTGTAAAATATGTTTTACATGTTTTCAAAAAGACTACTAACTGAATGTCTTGTAGCAATAACTATGGTACAATGAGTTAGACCATTCCAAAACTTATGTGCCAAACCTAGGAGAGAAGAAGCTATAAAGATAGAAGGCTACTGACATACTGTGAGTCTCAATGAGAAAATATTTCAAAACTCATGTACACTTCACCAGGCCCAAAATTTGCTATTATAGATAACAGAGTTGGAAAAGTTACTCTTTTGAAATTCTGTACTGAGCTGGGAGTTTTTGTCCAAAAAGGTAACTTTTCCATGCTGTAAGAAATACAGTGGTGTTGGCCATCAACACACATGAATCAGATGATAGAAGCAGCCAGCATAACCCCATCTAAGAGAGAATGGCTCCTTAGTTTCAACACTCAAGAAAATTGCTTTCATTTGGGATCCCCTAAGAATCACTTTTGGTGGTAGGCAACTTCCTCTAGTTGTCAGAGCACTAGGGCTGCTTATTTAAGGATCAGGGGGAGCACCCTGAAAGGGAGTAGGGACAGACAAGACATACAAATCTCCAGTTGCACTAAGTCCTGAAAAACCTGTGTCCAACTATTGCTCTTGGTAGTTGGAAACATGTTTTGGACCAAACTACTTCTCAGTATAATCTAAACCAAATCCCTTATGAATACACAGTGGAAGTGAAGAACAGATTTAAGGAACTCGATTTGGTGGACAGAGTGCCTGAAGAATTATGGATGGAGGCCTGTAACATTGTACGGGAGGCAGCAACAAAAACCATCCCAAAGAAAAGGAAATGCAAGAAAGCAAAGTGGCTGTCCAACGAGGCCTTACAAATAGCACAGAAGAGAAGGGAAAGAAAATGCAAGGGAGATAAGGAAAGTTACAGAAAACTGAATGCAGACTTCCAAAGAACAGCAAGGAGAGACAAGAGGGCCTTCTTAAATAAACAGTGCAAAGAAATAGAGGAAAATAATAGAAAGGGAAAAACCAGAGATCTGTTCAAGAAAATTGGAGATATTAAAGGAACATTTTGTGCAAAGATGGACAGGATAAAGGACAAAAATGGTAGGGACCTCACAGAAGCAGAAGACATCAAGAAGTGGTGGCAAGAATAC